TAATAGTATAATTTCATTCCGGTGCTAATTCTCCGCTAGCCAGGCTAGGGTATTCCTCACCTGCTGTACTCCGCGTCCTCCGCTTAGTGTTTCTAAGCGGATGCGACGAAACTTTATTACCGGGCATGTAATCTGGATGATTATCAGCTTCCTTGGACGTGGGTGTTGAAATTCACCGATGAAGCCTATCACCTCTTGACCTCTGTTGCCAGGCTTCCGAAGGAGGTGCAAAGCGCAAGGCCGAGTCTACGTCTTCACCCGTGGCTAAGAAGGCCAAAGCTGAGGATGGAAGTGCTGTACTCACGACTCCTAAAAAGACCACAAGCTCCAGCAGCCCCACCAAGACCCAGCGTCCTGTGGCCACTCCGCTTCGCCGCTTCCGCCGAAAGTCCAGTCCCAGGGCCACTGCCTTGGATTCAGATCGCATGACAGGGCTGGTTTATGTTTGTGGGATTGGCCAATGGCTCACCTAGAATCCGGTCCTAGCTGTCCGAGATTACTGTGGCCGGGTAGCCTATCAAAACCCCAGAGTCCGCTCCCCTATATTGACTGACACATTGGGGGGACAGGGTTTTTAATTTGCCAAAACCATAATCCGATTTAGGGTTTAGGGTTTATGTTAAGGGTTTAGGGGGAAAGGATATATATGCAGCTCCTATATACTAAATGACATTTCCGTTTCCGGAATGAATCCTATGGCTAGCCTACCTAAACCCCAGAACCCGCTCCTATACAGTTCCTATATTAACTGACACATTGGGGGGAAAGGCTTCTTATACAGTTCCTATACTAAATGACATTTCCGTTTCCGGGAAGAATCCTATGGCTAGCCTACCAAAACCCCAGAACCCGCTCCTCTACAGTTCTTATATGAACTGACACATTGGGGGGAAAGGCTTAATATACAGCTCCTATACTAAATGACATTTCCGTTTCCGGGAATAATCCTATGGCTAGCCTACCAAAACCCCAGAACCCGCTCCTCTACAGTTCCTATATTAACTGACACATTGGGGGGAAAGGCTTCTTATACAGTTCCTATACTAAATGAAATTTCCGTTTCCGGGACAAATCCTATGGCTAGCCTACCAAAACCCGGCCCTCCTATATGAACATATGATTATCCGGTCGATCTATAATCCTATGGCTAGCCTACCAAAACCCCGGAACCTGATCCTACAGCTCCTCTACTGAAATTCCGGAATCCTCTCGCTGATCTCGGCCGAGGTCCCTCTGCAGATGGAGGATCCGGCAAAGAGCTCCCCCAAAGGCAGCCCCAAAGCAAAGACATCCCCGAAGGCAAAGAGTGGCCCGAAGGCCAAGGCAAGCCCGAAGCCGAAGGGAAAGGAGGAGAAGACCCCGAAGAAAGCTAGCACTCCCAAGGCCTCCCCCAAGAAAGATGCCAAGCCGGTGGAGGGATCCGAGAGCACTGCTGTGGCAGGGGGCCGCGGTAGGAAGAAGGACTTGTCTTCAGCCGAGAAGGCGCAGCTGCGTGCGATGACGCATCCCAGTGAACCTCGGCTGAGTATATAGGTTGCATCGACGGACACATGTGGATGTCATATCTCAGCTCAGGAGTTGCCCTATGCTGTTCGGAAGACCTACTACGCGCGAGCTGGTCGGATCGTGAAAGCCCCGGGTGTGGATGCAGCTGTCGTCAGCAAGTATGATCTCATGAAGGGAGATCAGGAGAGGTGCCCCGGACTACATCATATATCCAACTGTTTTGCAGTGGTCTTGTGTGCTCGGTGTGGTGCTTAAGGGTGACCAGAGCTCAGGTTCGACTTCATGAAGCAGGTGCTCTTGGACCCGACCCTTGGTTCCGTGAAGGTGGAAGAGCACTATCGGAGTCAACAGCGAAACTCGAAGAAGGACAAGTATCGCTACGTGCCTTGTCGCTGATTGGCTAAAGAATTCTCAAGTGGTATGTATCGTTCCTATGCCCATGCCTAGGTCACTCTCTTTCAGCTTCAGAAGTGGTTCCCTGGTGAACAAGGGGAATTGTTCATTGCAGATCTGATCGACGGCAGCTCGGACACAAGACTGGAGACCCTAGTCCCCCTAGAGCCCCGTAATCCTTAGACTCTGAATAGAAGCAGAAGCTCTATCCGAAAAGCAACAACCCAAGACTAAAACCCTGAATAATCCAGCTCTGGTGCTGCATCCTTTGCAATGAGGGTGGCAGAGTACCTTAACATAGGGTTTAGGTTTAGGGTTAATGGGTTCCGGCTTAAGGGTTAATTGTATTGGGTGTTTTGTGCAGGGTGTTTTCAATTGCACACAGTGCTTGGCCAGAAGCCTGGGAGGCTAGGACCCGAGGCCCCCTACCCCCACTGTACTCTATATGGCAGATATAAGCCTCGAAACTCCACCCATGTGCGAGAAATTTCGTCATGAGTGCTCAGATCTTCCCGTGCTTGCAGGTGGGGATTGATATGTTCCCTAACCCTAAATCCTATGGTCTCGATCGAGATTTCAGGGGCCATGAGTTCTGAATTTGGAATGACCAGAAGCCCAATATATACCCAACCCCCCTGCTCTGAAACAGCAAATTCTCGAAGCTCTGATGCCCCAAACCCGACAACCCCCAAAGCCTAACACCCCGCAACCGGGATGTGCTTTAGATGGGCAAGAACCCTCCAAGCTCTGAACCCCACAACCCCGGAAGCCTAAAGCCCCTCCAAGCTCTAAAGTCTCGAACCCCAGAACCACGGAAGCCTAAAGCCCCTCCAAGCTCTACAGTCTCGAACCCCACAACCCCGGAAGCCTAAAGCCCCTCCAAGCTCTAAAGTCTCGAACCCCAGAACCACGGAAGCCTAAAGCCCCTCCAAGCTCTACAGTCTCGAACCCCAGAACCACGGAAGCCTAAAGCCCCTCCAAGCTCTAAAGTCTCGAACCCCAGAACCAGGGAAGCCTAAAGCCCTGGAACCCGGCTTAAAGCTTGAATCCTTGCCTTGATCGAGATTACATTCAAGTGGGGGTTGACGCAGGCCAGAACCCTGAAACGGGGTTGAGAGGTTTAGGGGTTTAGGGGTTTAGGGTTTGGGCTTTGAGCATTTAGGGCGGTTTGCTGTTATACTT